AAAAACTACTGCCTGATATATCCTCTGCATTATAAATTCTGTTTGATTCTTGCTTCTTTTTTTTAACTTCAATTCTATCTCATTCTCGGATGTGCTGTGATTTAACTTCTTCCTTTAGATGTGTTACCTGGTGACTTTTTTTCCTTTTTTTTTTTTTTTTAGTATTTTAAATTTATTCTTGGCTTATTATAGTATACTGCTTTCCTACCTTGAACTTTAAAAAATATTCTCTTTGATATTTTAAAGCCTTTATTTTTTATTATTTTTAATGCTTTTCCACCTGTTAGAACTTTCTTTCCATTTTTCATCACATGGAAGGTAGAAAATTCATATCCCCATAAACACTGTTTAGTCTCCAGAGTTATTTTGCTAACCAACCCCTTCCTTCCATTTTAACAGGTTATGTAGAGATCAAAAATAGATTAAAAAAACAAATTTCTTCTGTATAGCACAGGGAACTATATTCAATATCTTGTAATAATTTTTAATGAAAAATAATTTGAAAATGAATACATACGTGTATATGCATGACTGGGACGTTATGCTGTACAGCAGAAATTGAGGCATTGTAACTGACGATACTTCAGTTTAAAAAACAGCAGTGGGAATGGTGAGGAGATTGCAGCTTAGTGATAAAAAAGCAAGATTTTTGGTGTCAGACAGACTTGGATTTGAATCCTAGGTCTACCTTTTTCTAGCAGTGAGACCTTAAGCAATCTATGTAGTCTTGCTGTGCCTGAGTTTCTTAACCTGTAAACCTTGGATAATACTACTTAACTCGTGGAATCATTTGAGGATGAAATGCGAGCATGTATATAAAGAGGGTATAGGTACAGTGCATAGCCTGAGAACCACTCAGAAAATGATAGTTTGGTTTTGTTACATCCGAGATGTTGTAATAGTAAAACTGTTAGTTTCATATGACACCAGGGTAATAAACGGACAGGTCTGTCCCAGAAGGGCTAAATTCATTGTCTTAGTGGTAATTCTGTCTTCAGTGATTTATACATTTCTTAACTCCAAAAATTTTTTTCTAAATGAAGTACTTTGTTGCATAAACAATTATGGGTATATGTTCTGTATAGGCACATCAGCTTGGCTTTCTGGGGGATAAATAAAACCTGACCACAACCCTCAAAGAGCTTACAGTATGATACAAAAGCAGTGGACAAACTCAACTATAATGTAATGTAAACAGAGCATGTCCTGGAAAATTCTTGAAGTGCTGTGGGAAGTCAAAGAAAGCAACTTCTTCCCTAGCCAAAGATGTTCAGAACCAAACCCATTTCCCCTCACTTCTGCAACCAAATTGGTTCCTCTGGCAGCATCCCTCATCTCTACAACTGGGTACCACCACGTGTTTGGAAGCTCTCTTAACCACTCCCTCTCCTTCCCTTCTGCTGCCAGCTCCCACAAGGCTCAGCAGATTCTCCTTCCTTAATGTCCCTAAACCTGTCCATCTGTTTTCACTTCCATGGACTTTGTTCCGTGATTCTCAAACTGTTATGCCTTAGACTCTCCTGAAGGGCTTGTTAAAACACGGATTGATGGGTCCTACTCCCAGAGTTTCTTCTAACTCCGCAGGTCTGGGCTAGGGCCTGAGAATCTGCATTCTTGTCAGACAAGTGCCCAGTTGATACTGATGCTGCTGGTGTGGGAACCGCACTGAGAAGTGATGAGTTCATGACCTCATTATTTCCTCCAGGGATTGTTGCCCTGTCTTCCTAGTTAAGCTTTCTGCCTCTAATCCTTACCCTCTTCTTCACATTCACCTCCTGACCTCGCATCAAGAGGAAAAAAAAAGTCCTTTCTGGCTATAGATTGCCCAGAGGATAAATGTCAGAATCCCTTATGTGATCTGCAGGACCCTCACTCCTCCCTTCCTCTCTAGTCTTATCTCCTGCCTTCCAGATCCCATGCCTAACCTCCTGGCAGACTTAATTTCTGTGTCATTTTGTGTTTTGTCCTTTGCATCTGCCCTTTACTCTGTCTAAAATGCTGCAGATCTCTTTCTTCAGTTGTTAACTCCTATGGGTTCTTTGCAAAACACTCTGAAACACCTCGTTAGGGAAGCACTTCTTCTCCATTTGAAGGCAGAGACAGGTGCCTCACCTCTGTGCCTTCTACCCCATGGTGGTTATCACATGATGGTACCTGCCTGCTAGTCCACTTCTCCCACAAGACTCTGAGCTTCCAGAGAGCAAGAACCAAATTTTTGATCTCTATAGCCACAACCCTGAGCGGTGCATTGCCTGCCAGAGTCGGAAACCAATGGATGTTTAATGAAAGGAGACATGCGGGAAGGCTATTTGGAGGAGGTAGGCGTGCTAGCCAGATATAAAGAGTGATTAGGCTTTGGACATGCAGAGAGAAGAGGAAGAACATTCTAGAAGGAGAAGCTTGAGCCTGCACCTACATGGTCGGACTTGGACACGGTATGAGGAGAAGATAAGGAGGAGTTTAGTTTGGCTGGCCACAGGATGTGGAGTCAGCTGAGGGAGATAGTCAAGGCAGAATTAACGTGACTCAGCAAGGGATGGAATATGGGAGCCCAGGAAAGACTAGATCCAATGTGAGGATGTGGAGAGTACCGTTAACCAGAAACAGACTCTCTGGAGATAGAGTAAGCTGGAAAAGGAGTCAAGAAGGATGAGTACCAAGAGTGTGGTCTTGGCCATGGTAGATCTGGGGACACCATTAAGACACATTCCACCACCTTGTCTTTATGAGTCTTGCTACTGATCTTATTCAGGTTTGATCTCTGGGGCTTATTAAGCACCCAGTAAATGCTGAATGAATGAGTGAAAGAATAAATGCACTGGAATCAAAATAAAAGCCAGCAGTGGTGCTGCATAAGCCAAGGAAAAGAAGGAGAGGTAGCTTCTTTGATGATTTTAGGTTTGCCATTGCCACAAGACTCTGGTCGAGAGAAAAGGCAGGCTGCCGGCAGCGGTGCGAGGACCGAGAGAGGGAACTCAGGTGATGGGTAGCAGAGGCTCAGGAGACCACTTCTTGTCACTGGAAATGGGGAAAGCGAGCCTTTGTGAAGATGATCAGGTGACACTGTGACCATGATCCCTTAAATGAGCAGTTGTGGTACATCGTGTGGGTTTTGCTATTTGGTGTGCAGAACAAAATGCATGGGAGCTGAAATGTACTCTCTGACGTCCCTGTAGTAATGCAATAAACAAGAGCATTAGTAACCTTTATTCTTTGTTTAAAGTTATGTCTAGAAAGAGTTATGCATTGTCACTGCTAATCCATTTTTTCTCATGAAATAGACAGCTTTATGACTATTATGACACTCTTCTCAAAATCTAACCACTACTGTTCTTCCTTAAGTTTAACACATAGACATGTGTTTAGAGAATGTAATACAGTGTTGAATACTTGAAAGAAATGGGTCTTCTGACCTGTTTTTTCCAGTCTTGTGCAATACTAAGGGGCTTTCTCATAATACTCTTATACGTGCAGACATGTATCTGAAGAAAAATAGAGATTAAAGCATGAAATGGTCTTTATATTAAAACACACACACAGTTACGTTTCTAAGCAGACATCTATCTGCAGAGATCGGTTACCTTTGGTTGTGCTTCCAAATTGTTACCTTTGGGTAGTTCTATTGGTAGATCCATCAAAAATCAACATTTACAATGTAAAGGAAGCAGGAAGTTTTATTACCAAAAACAAGCGCTGAGGCATGCGGGGGCCGGGGAGGGGGGTATGTAGAGGGATAAACAGTAGATAAAGAGGCAGGATTCAGTTTCCTTTTATGCTCAAGCTTGGGGACAGGCAGGCCATTATTTCCCGGGGCCTGCCACTGACAAACAGGAGCACTGAGTTATGAATTGCAAGTCATTTACTTTTAAAACTCAATTTCATTTTTTCAAACAGTCCTTGTGAGCACGAATATCTAATGAAAGAGTTTAGGCATCGATATCCTAGTATAACAATCTATAAGTCATGTACTAGTTGGAGTTCATTCATTTAACAAATATTTATCAAGCATTTCTATGTGTCAGCCCTGGGCTAGACAGGAGGGAGCAAGGCAGACCAGGTTTCCTGTTACGCTTGAGACAAACCTGGAGTTCCAGACTCTGCTTTTATTGTTGTTGTTGCTACTGGAGTTAACACATGAATGACCAGTTTTGTTTCCAGTTTTCAACCTGAACTATAAAATATGAAATGCTGCCCTTCTGATGTGTATTCAAAGTTGCAATTTTCAGTGTGCTTCTTAAAAATTCCAGTGTGTCAGCTTTGATGGAGCAAATTAGAAAATCTAAGGAAAGTGGAATTCAGGAAATTAGGGAGTCTTAAGAATGCTTGGAATTTCTAACAGGTTTTACTAAACATTTTCTGTATCATGACATGTTCCAGAAGACCGTAAATGTTAGTTTATACAAATTGAAACTACTTTTTGCTTTGCTGACAACTACAAATAAATAATTCAGATGACCACCCACCAAAAAAAAAAATCTCTTGAGGGGTTTGTGTGTTTCTTATGAAATATTTGCTTTGTAAATTTTAAAAGCAAAGAGAAAAATAAGGAGATGTTGCTTCGTTTTACTTCCACTTTTCAATTCTGCAGAACTCGTTTCAAATACTTCTGTAGACCCCAATAATATCATTATAGAAATGCAAAATAATCATTAGCCTTTTGTCTTGATTTGACTTTAACAGAGGAGATTAAAGGCCTTTTCTTACTTTCGTTTCAGTACAGCAACACATTGACCTCTCCAGTTAAAATCACTTAATCTGCCACATTGTTTTCATAGTGGCGATCAACTAAATTAAATACAGGGCTATAAGCTGGGATGGCTCTGTTTTATGTAGTCAGAAGCCTTATGTAAAGTTCATAAATGTTGCACAAAACACAGCTGCTTGGCCCTGGTCCAGGAGGTAATAAGTCAGTATAAAAAGAGTCAGGGAGATAACCTTTAGCTTAATGTAACTTGGTAAATTAGATCCTATATATGCTAATTTTGTACTTTTTTTAATAGATGGAACTGATTAAAAATATAAGTACTGCTGAACAGCCCTATTTATTCACTCGACATGTCCATTTCCTCAACTTCTCAAGGTAAGATATTTTCCAGTTTAATGGTTCTTTCTTTTTTTTTTCTTTCCCAGTACTTAGTTTCCTTCTAATGAACAATTGCTTGAAAATCTACCTTCATTTCCAAGGTAGTGTAATTGCCCTTCAAAAGACATTTTTAATCCTTTTGTTTTTTCTGTAGAGGGATCAGAATTTGAAATATTTGGACAGAAGCTTCATTTCTTTCTAGAATACTAATCTTAAATCTTGTGAAAACTTGAAATTATTTTTCATGGGAAACCATTTGGACTGATAGTTCTCTAAAAAAAATTAGGTTTTATATTGAAACAAAATAGGCAAGAGATAGGTATTTTAGTAGATGCATTTCATTGCATGTCTTTATACAGCTTGAACCTGCACGGGACACTGGGAATAATTTAATGGTGGAATTAGGTGTATTTTGTAGGATCCAAAAAGCTAGTATCAGCCTCTCTGTCTACCTTCTTAATACTCTTTTCGATTACCCTAAGCCTTGCATGTTTGATGCTGATGGGAATTTTAGAAATCTGGTTTTTCTTCAGCTGCAGGGACCTTCTGATAATAGTGTAAATCTTCAAACTTATGTGTTTAGACCCTCGATCTGTGAAGTCACTAATTGCAAGTTCTGGGCGTCCTCTTCCCCAGGGAGCCGTTAGGTGGCCCCGTCACTGTACTTTACTGTGAACTTATAGTTCTCGGGGTCCTCCTCCCAGGCTGTCTGTGTCTGAGCTCGCAGTTAGTATCTGCTGACAGAGCACTGGGTCCAGGACCAGATCTGCTGACCAGCCCGGGACCCCGGGCCTCCCTCATCAGCCATCTGACCAGCGCTTCCCTCCCTGCTTTTCCCATGGGGAAAACAGGATCTCACAGGTCCACCGAGAGAGTCCTGCTGGCTGTGCTGACCTAAAGGCCCTGAGGGCTGGGAGCCGGGGAAGCCGGGGCACTTGAGCTCCTGAGTGCGCATTGGGCAGGCAAGGCTGCCTCATCCCAGGATGCCTAACAGCCTTTGGGCCTGGGAGAAGCTTTTAGCCTTCAAAGCTCTTCCCTGCTGTACTGCAGGCCCTGTGCAAATTAAGCGTAAGGAGAATGGGATTGAGCAAAGCAAGTTATTCAGCAGCAAAGAGGAGTTGCTGCCTTATCTTTGAAAGCAAGTTTCCCCAGCCCGCCTGATACCCAGCGTTCCCTCGGGTAGTGAATAGGTGAGGGGGACACCTGCGGATTATCCTCAGGGGCCCCGGGCCGTGGCCTGGAGGAGAGCTGAGTGTGTTTCCGACCACATTTCTAAAGTGTCTGTCACTGGACTGCCTGGGGCATGTGCCCTGCCTCTCACTTCCGGTGGGCCAAGAACACATAATTAGACATAATTAGGTAACAAGGGCTGGGTAGCTGTTTCGGGCCTTGTGTTTTTAAGACTCGCAGAGGGCAGAGCGCGGTCCCGCTGACCCCTCCCTTTTCTTGTGCCAGTCCTTCTGCGTCACCCCTGATGTCCTCAGACCTCATTCATTTGCTCCTCTTGCTTCAAAGGCAAATCTCTACGACCAACACAGATTGCAATGCAACAAATTTTAATAATTAACTCAGGACAGTGCAGCACTGTATTGACAAGCCAACCCTAATATCTTAATTGGATCAGCAGAGCTGGGCATACGGTGACCGTATTTGTCATAGCCTGCACTGTTGAATCCGAGAGTTTAATCTTGATTGATTCAATTCTGAAAGAAGAAAAGAGGACACACCTGCAGGAAACAGTGTTGGCCTGGCTGCAAGGACCTCTGCGTGTCAGACTCCTGCTGACCATGCTCTCAGCAAGCAATTTAGTCCTTTGAGGGGAGAGGGGTCTCTTTTTCCTTCCATAAAATAGGGACAGTTGCTATCCAGCCCTGCTTTGTAGGGATGCTCTAAACACCTGAAGGAAAACCCTCCAAGTTCTTGGAGAAAAGGGTATTACGTATATTCAAAGCGGCATTTAGAGCATTTCTGTGATAGCCTCAGATTGAGCCCCCAGTTTGGCTCCAGTCCCAGTGCAGCTGCACCATGTCTCTAAAGCCTCGAGGGCAGGGCCCTGCTCTCCTGGGTTCTCCTCCCTCCATTCCATTTTGTTCAATTAAATACACATTTGTTGAGGATCCTGTCTCTGGACGATGCGCTAAAACTGGGGCTTCTGCAGTGAACAAGAAATATTGTCCCCGCCTTCAGGGAACTGTAAGTTCTTCCATTAAGGAGGAAATGGCAGTGAAGTGCGATGAGCTTTAGGGGAAAGAGTCCCTGGGTGTCCCCTAGGGGAAGTGGGAGGCAGGGCCCTCCCTCCCCTGGAGAGGAAGTCCAGAGGGCATTCCCGAGCTGGAGCCCTTGCTGCTGGGCTGTGAGGAAGGGGCCAGCTTCAGACAAACAAAGGGGAAGGGCATTGGATGCACAGGGCCCAGCATGAGCAAAAACAGGACAAAGAGAAGGATGGAGAGGAATCCCATAAACGGGAACCTTGAGGGTGGGCACAGCAGGAATAAAATGGCAGGGAAGAGTTTTACGCAGGAAAAAGTAGAGACCTGCCTGATCAGCTCTAAAAAAACTCCTGCTGACTGTGGGAGCAAACTCATCCTCTCTTCCCACCCCACCTGCACAAGACCTGGGGCCTTAGCTTCAAGACCTCCATCCGCATTTAATACATTACAAGACTGTATTACATTCATTGAACATGGGAATTTAAAACATCACCTTTTCTTTTTCAAGGGAATAGCTTTATTTAAGGAAAATTTCTTAAGTATAAATGGTAAACTGTGGGTATACAAGGAATGCCCCCAAAATACACAATTAACAGAGAAAAAACAGTTAAGTTAGGACTTAATTAAGAGAGTTTTCATTTACTTTTATAGAACTGAGTTCTATATTTTGAATTATAAGGTCTAGAGATAATTAAACTTTTCTTAAGAAACCTGCCCTGATGGTTGCTGACAGGCATTGTTTCAAGATAATGAGGTTATTAAGAGAAGAATTGTTGCTGCAGCTGATATGCTGTGTTGGTGTTTTGTTTCTCATCTTCCTTACATTCTTGCCCGGCAGTAGGACATTTACTTGCTGGAGAGCAGAATATAAGAATGAAGGTCTAGGTCTTCCTAGACCTTCTTTTGCCATTTTTGTTCTGAACTCATGAAGTGTGTGACATACCAAGTGAATCACTGCCCCTTACTCTTTTCCCTTGAGTATGGCGTTCTTATCTTGGAATTTAGGTACTCTGAGTGATGTAAAATGCTATGCTGTGAATTTTTGGTGATTCAATAATTTTCATTTATTCGTCGTCTAGTCACGTTGTCCTGTTCCCTCTTTTCCCTCTTTTCCGACCTAGAAGGGACAGTTTCACCATATCCATTTTGATTTGTTCAGCCGTGGAAAGCTATCAGACCAAATGCTTTTGCGTTTGCTTCCTGCCAGAGGAGATAAACTGTACAAGCGCCTCAGAAACTTCAGACCAGTTTGGATTTGTGAGGTTTTCTACTGGGCTTTCACATCATTTTTGAACTGCCTGAAAGTTCAGGCCAGACAGATGTTTTTCACCTGGATACCTGGAGAATTGGGTCAAAATTTCCTTGGCCTAAAAGATGCTACTCTTTGTTGTGATGTTCAAGTGGGATGTTTAATATTCGTGTACTGTGGTTTCACGTGTCTGTTCCCAGTTGTGGACATCACCTAAAGAATGAGAATTTTTGAAAAAGTTCCCCTTCCCAGCATCGTGTCTCTAAGTATGTCTTAGGTCGTACACTGGAAAGACAGACAGACCGTTCAATTTGTCTTCCCTTCTCCTGTCCCCACTCTTTGTTTTCTAAGATTTTTTTTTTTTTTTGCTGGAGGGAAGTAATTCTTTATCTCATCTACAATTCCCCTGAGCCCTGAATTTGGGTCTTGAAGGGAAAACACTGTGAAGGTTTATGTCTGGGCTCAGTGCTATGAAAATATTTCAAGCGAATTGTGAGATACCAATATGCTGACTGGTCTCAAGCCATCGCTTCTCATAACCTTTTCCATGTCATTCTTGCTTTCTCATCCATGACCCCCTCACCTTTCTTTGCTTGGGTTTCTCTTTCCTCATTTGTCTCAGATAGTGGCTCCAATGCCAACACTAACTTGCAAAAACAAAACATTTAAAAATCAATCAATCACCAGAGAAGCAGGCCCGGTGTGACATACAAGGACACAATAGGACACTTTCTCTGTTCCTTAAAGGGAAGTCTTGATTACTGATGTGCCCAATGTCTGCCCTCTGATGGCATTATTTAACAAAACAAATCCAATCTTGCCAAGTCCATAACTCAAACCAGTTTCCACATCTTATTTCTAAATACTGACTGTTTTCATTCTCATTAGCAAAGTCATCCATTTTAATTGTGTCCTGCAGGTCTTTTGTAGTGGTGACAGAAGCCTCAAACTTTGAAGAGATCATAAAATAAAAGTTGATATTAGTGCGTGTTGAACACCATCTTTACCTACTTGAACATAGCCCAGAAGCTTGATTTTCAAAATGAGAGTTTTCTCTCAGTTTATCCTGTGTAGACACAGCTGGATTAGTCTTCTGAAAATGGCGTTCTCTGCCTCCGTTTTCTCTTTTCACAGGACAGGAGCTCTGCTGCCCTGTGGGCCCACACACGTTGCTGAGCTGTCAAGGCTCCGTCTATCAGGACTTTCCCTGCGCCCACCCCACTGCACACTCTGAGGAACCTTCCTCCTTGTCATCTCCTTGCTTCTCGCCTTGTTAACTCTGTCTTCCTCTCCCAGCAAGAACCCTAACTCCAGTGGCCCAATTACACCCCCCTCCCACCCCCTTGGTCTCCACCCCACTCAGCAAATCTCCCACCCCTCTTCCCTGAGGACACTCGGGGAGCAGAGAGTTTTCTCAGTTTCCTCTTGTGTCTTGTGATGGGAGGCCCTGTCCTGGGCAGCCAAGGACAGTAGTGTCCACTGAGTAAGGTTGTGAGGATGGAGGGCGGCCTTTCCATCCCGTTCCAGCAAAGGACAGTTAAATAACCATCCCTGCCCTCCTGCTCCCGCAGGCAGCTCCTCACCCTACTCCCCAAACAACCGTGTCCTTTTCCATCAGGGCCTTTCTCTCATTTCAAAGTGTCTCTCTCCTTGCTAACAGGGATCAAAGCTTGGGCCACTAGCCTCAGGATGCTCTTCGTTTTTTAATGTAGGTAACAGCAGAGGAATAACCTCTAATTTTAGGCCAGAGGTGAAAAGGAAGATAAACTTTCAGTAGAAATGGAAATGGCCAGGGGTGAGGCGAAAGGGTCGGAAAGGAAGGTACCGTCTAATGGGTGCAGAGTTTTGAGTTTGGGATGATGAGAAAGTTCTGGAGGTGGGTGGTGGTGATGGTTGCATAACAGTGTGAATGCACTTAATGCCTCTGAATTGTACCCTTAAAAATGGTGAAAAGGGCAAATTTCATGTGATGCACATTTTACCACAATTAAAATGTATATATTTACATATATATGTGTTTATCTATATATGTATTTATATATATTCACACTTTCGAAAGCTGCTTGCAGTCATAGAAAACTCTACTATAATAGGAAGACAAAATAATCTTAATTCTCCAGGATAATTTCAGCCTTAAGGCTCACTGTCTAATCCATGCAGCGTTATCCCAGGAAGACTAGCAGCAGCGCTTTAATGAAAGGGCACCTAAAATTCTCACCCGAGCGCTTTGTGTCGCTAATGGACAGACGACTAGTGTAGACTGATGGGCTGATTGACGGGGGCAGCAGTGTGGGGCAGATGATGAAGAAAATCAGCGGAATGAGGTACTTAGGAATGCATGGGAAAACTGAGAACCATGCAGTTATTATTTTGAGATAATTACATTCTACTTTGGATCTTCATCTTCTTATCAAAAAAAAAAAAAAAAGAATATGGTCAGTTTGCAGAGGGTCAGAAGGAGACCCACAGGGGGAATTAGAGTTGGTAAACATGACCTGTGAACAAGTTATCAGTGAAACCGGAAATACCTGCTATTTTAGGATGACTAGAAAGAGAGCTTGAAATACGCAACGTTTGGTATGGTGACCAGGGGAGAAGAGGGGGTGTTGTTAACTGAAAAACAAAATATGGCCTGACTCCCTCCTCTCCAGTGTACACACAGCACAGAGCCTGTCGTCAGCTGTGGTCACCTCAGTTGTAAAAAACTTGATAAAGATGAAATTAGAATTGTAGATTATAAAATTAGGGAAATGAATCTCAAGACAAATGCTAAAGGAAATTCAAAAAGAAACACAGACACACGCACAAAAGTTAAAGGAATTAAAATTGAAGCTGAGAAGGCTGAGTTGTAAAGGGTGTGAAGAGACGCTAATCCCTTGTGTGGAGTGGATCAAACAGAAGGAAATGTGCACAAAAGGACGATAAGGATTCTGGCCTCAAAATTGTAACAGAGACGCCTCAGCTGGTGGGGAAGCTGTGGAATCTCCTCTCAAGGTTTTTGAAAATAAGGGGGAGTGTTGTGTTTCGTGGGATGGGGGGGTGGGGGCGGGGCAACAATAGATCCAGGTGACCCAGACCCCGAGACCTTCTAAGGGTGACCAGGAGTTCTGGCCAGAATTTAAAAATTACTGAGAGAGGAGGAACTAATCCTGAGAGAGGACGGGACAAGGGTGGGAAATCTGTGTCCCTTCTCAGGCACTGGGACACATGGGTGCTATTTGGCCTCTTCTGAATAACTGATGTGTCACCCCAGATTTTGCCAGTTTGGGAGGGAGCTGTGTGTCCTAGAAAAAAGACAAGGGTTGATGGCCTGAAACCATTATTAGTGTCATTTTCTGGAAAGGGAAAGACATATACCAGATGCCTCTCTCATGGTTAGAGATTTCTAGACAGGCTATTATACTATCTGATGCTATTTAACAATAAATTTCTAAACCATCTAAAACTTCTTTTTGGAAATGTACTCGGGAAATCTTGCATTTGGTTGCAATGTGCAAACAGAAGCAGGTCAGCCATGCTTGACAAGCCATGTCCATCTTCACGCCTATAGCCCTCAGTGGAACGTGGCTGTGGCCAGGCCGAGAACTGTCTGGTGCTGGGCAGCGGGGCACGGAGTCACGTGACCCGGCAGTTCCGCTAATCAGCGGTAGTAGTCATTCTTCACATGACCATGGAAGTGCAGTTGAAGTTTTAAAAGCGTGTTGCAGTTTCTGAGGGTTGAATTGCATTCACATCTGGTATGCATGCTTTATCTTTCTAATCCCTAACCCTAGTACTTTAGTTGCTGTTTATCATAGACATGAAACCCAAATTAATTAAAGAGAGGAAGATACATCCAGAATGTTGGTGGTTAGCGGTGGTTGGCACAGCTGACTTCTGGGACCAGTTAGTTGTTCACCCAGCTGCATGAATGTCACCTCGTGTACATCTGGGAGCTGACAAGGGTCATGTTGGCACGGCTAACCCTGCTCCTGAGCGGTGTGTTTTCCAAGTTGGTGTATTCGAGAAGCCCAGAACAGCATTCACGTGTCCTGGTACCTGAAATCACACCACTGGAGAGTCATTCCTTTTTGTTCCTTTGGATTCTTCTCTCTGAAGATTCTCTAAAAATGCAAAAACCAAACAAAAGAACTGGGGACAACATTCTACAAATTAATACACAGGGAAGAATTGGTGGCTGGTTGTGTTCACTTTCGTCTACCATGGAGCCCTGGGATATTGGCAGAAATTTACAGACTTAGACGTAGCCTCCCATGGTGTCTTAGAAGCCACCATGTCTTCACTGGTTGAGCACCCACTGTGGGCCACGCGTGTTCTAGAGGACATTGTTCCTGGCTTCAGGAGACCCATAGTCTGATGGAAGAGGCAGACATGTTCCCAGGGCTGGAGAGAGGGCTTGGGCCAGAGGAGGGAGGGGCCCACATGAGGATGGGAGATAATCACAGAAGGATGTGGCGGTGATACTGGGCTGGGTTTTTGTTGGTGGGGGGAGGATGGGGGAGCTGGGTTTTGAAAGGTGAAGTGGCTGCCAGCTGGAGAGGTGGGGGCAGTGTCATGTCAATTTGTTTTCTCTGAGCTCCTTCTGACCCCTGACAGAATGTCCTGACATCCTCGTCAGAAGGTCACGGGGTGAGAGAATCCTGTGGGTCCCTCAGGAGGTCCCCAGTGCAAGACCTCTGCCCGGAGCCCAGAGTGCTCTCCCAGACTCTTCAGGATCACTGCTTTCAGGCAGTTCAAAGAGAAGGGGGAGGAATCCTTAAGACAAATTCAGCCAACCTAATCCTTTTGCTTGGGGAAGGCCTTGCTCTTGGGCCAGCATTCAGTGCATTTTTATAACCCCTTTGTGGAAGAAACTGAAATGGAACTTGTAGATATTTGTTTTATTTTTACCTAAAACCCTTTGCCGTCATTTGAGGATAAGTATGCTGATTTGTGTTGTGTTCATGAGATCCCTTACACTATTACTTTTCTCCGCTCTGGACTCTTCTTTCTGTGGTTCGGAGCACAGATTCTGGAGCCAGGCTGTCTGGGTTCATATCCTGGCTCAGCCACAGGTTACTCACCTGCTCTCTGCCTCAGTGCCCCATAATTATGGCTTTTCCTTCGCCGAGGCGCTGTGAGGCCTCGGTGACTTGGTCACAGGGCACTCACAGAGGGTGGGCAGGGAGCACGTAATAAAGCTTGGCCATTATTACCTACTTCCTGTAGAGCCCTTTACCCAAGACTGTGTTAGTTAGAATGTCGAATGAGTACCATTTCAGCCAACGAGGCCGTCAGGATTTACCAGTCAGTTGAAACATTCCCCGGGGGCCAGTGGGTCTGTGCCAAACCCTGGGAATATAAAACCCAGTACAGTGTGGCCCTGCCCTCAGGAACCTACAGCCTCATGAGACATCAGGCCGCATCTCTACCTTCACGTTGACAAATACCGGGGTTTGTACGGTGCGGACTGTGGAGCCGTCTCAGCGGGTACTGGACAGGCCCCGCCTGCGTGGTCCTGAGCGCCCAGCGGGAATCACTGCTTGCTGGTTAGGTTGCTCGCTGGGACCCGAGCAGATGGGGCCCTCTGACGATGTTACCTAGGGGGAGCCAGTGTCTAAGTGGGCTTTATTTTCCTCCAGAAGTGCCGGCCTGTAATCATTTCCTCTTTTGTGTGCCTCTTAGGTTTGGAGGAGACCAGCCTGTTTACATCAACATCATTAGAGACCCCGTCAACCGGTTTTTATCAAACTATTTTTTCCGTCGATTCGGAGACTGGAGAGGAGAACAGAATCACATGATCCGCACTCCCAGCATGAGGCAGGAGGAGCGCTACCTGGTAAGTCCTGTTGCCTGGAGGAGCGGTCCCTCCCTGCCTGGGAGCAGCAAGGCGGGGCCGGGGAGCTCCCCCACCTCCCGTGGCACGTCCACGAGCTCCGCGTGGCGAGGGCACGTCCTCAGGGAGCAGGTTTTTGCCGCTGAAAAATTAATTTTCCAGATGACCCAGATCCTAACAAACATTTTCTCAAAAGACTTTCTAATCTTGTTTTCCTCAGTTTCTGGGTTTTAAGTCCCAGAAAAGAAATAGTCTTTCCCAGAGAACCCTGACCAGCACGATTTTTGTTTTTGTATTTTGGGAATTTCTCTTAAAAGCTCACAGAGTACTTTCTCATACCTCATCCCATTCAATTCCATGACAATCCCCTGAGGGAGGGGTATTTTCAGATAAGGACCCTGCGATTCCAAAAGGATGTGGGCACAGCCATGACTGACTGTCTTCAGGTCCTCTGATTCCAAGTCCGGGTTCCTCCCACCAGAACACAGCAGAATCAGACCATCTCTGCAAAATTTGTTTGCCTTTTCTGGACCTTGTTTTGGGACCCTGAGCTCCCTAGGGATGTTAATTTTTTTTTAATTGAACTATAGTTTATTTACAATGTTGTGTTTGTTTCTGGTGTACAACAAAGTGATTAAGCTTTATATATATATAAAATCTTCTTTTCAGTTATAGTTTATTACATGATATTGAATGTATTTCCCTGTGCTATACAGTAGGACCTTGTTGTTTATCAATTTTTTGTAGTAGTTTGTATCTACTAATCCCAAACTCCTAATTTATCCCTGCCCGCCCCTTTCCCGTTTGGTGACCTTAAGTTTTATTTCCTATGTCTATGAGTCTGTTTCTGTTTTGTAAACAAGTTCATTTATATATATATTTTTAGATTTCACATATAAGTGATATCACATGATACTTGTCCTTGTCTGGCTTACTTCACTTAATATGATCATCTCTAAGTCCATCCATGTGGCTGCAAAGAGATGTTAATTTTGATTACACTAATTGTTTCCACAGCTTGGAGTTGGTAACAGATGAAAGTAGTGTATCTTTCAGCCAGCACCAAATAAAAGATGTGTTTATCATCAGTTTGTGATCTAGATTGACAAAAGCTTGCTGAGTAGCTTAGAGCCTGGTGTTAAAGAGGCTGAAATTCTGTTCCCTGTGTCCGAGACAGCTCATCAGGTTCATCCTGGGCTGTCAGGCACAAGCAGAAAGGGATGAAAGTATTGAGGGATCCGTGCAGATCTGTTCCCATGGCTGGCGTGTAACACGGCGCCTACGCCCACTGCTTATGTGTCCGCAGCAGCATGCTGGAACTGAAGAGAAATAGCGTTAGTTACAGTTCCAGCACAAGGCCAAAATTTCTCTTTCCATATTTGATTTTAAAAAACATAATAAAAAGTATGGATTTGGAGGATAGGGCATTTTTGGATAATGTCACTTTCACGTCTTAAAATCCACGATTAGAGTGAGAAAACTGGGATGCACGGAAGTTTGTACGGCTAGTTACAGGTTGGCCAAAGCACGTCACTCACCAGCCAGTATCTGCTCAACTACCTAATGCTTCAGTGAAATATGTTGAGGGTAGATTTTTTTTTTAAGTGGCTTTTACTTTTTTTTCTTTTTAGTTTTTGATGCAAAACTCTAATCTTTTTCTTTAAACTACCTATTATAAATATGGTTCTGTGTTTTTTATTCAATGACTAGCACATATTCAGAGTATAGAACCATTTACTAGAGGAATAATGTCTTTATAGTTTGTATTGGATCTTGCTTAGCAATGATTTTTTTTAAACATAGAGCATATTCCGTGTAATCAAAATACATTACAAACTTTCTGACTCAGTCCAATACTACAAAAGTTAGAATCAAGTTTTAGCAGAAGATGCTGAAAAACCAAAGATATGAAAGCAAGTTTTATGACTCCTGCTTTTCAGATATTACTGTACCTACCTAATATTAATTTACCTAATAAGTAAGTTCATATTTACCAGAAGGTGAAAAGTGATTCGAAAAAACAAGAAAGTGGAGGGGCAGTCCTGAGGATCCAGTGGGTGGGGACAGGCTGCGATGTTAATAAGTAGATCAGGGAAAGTGTTGGATGTGGCATGTGAGCAGAGATTAGAATGAGAGATGGTGTTGGTCACATGGTCGGCTGGGGGCCCGCAGCTCCAAGTCGAGGGGGCAGCTGGAGCAAAGGCCTGGAGCATTCACATGTACTGCTCATTCAGAAGTCAGCTGGGAGAACCGTGTAGCTGGTACAGAGTGAGGGGCGGGGACAGGGAAGTGCAGCTGTTAATTTAGAGAGGTAAGGCTTAGAGGTAAAAGATCATATAAGGCCTTGTGAGTCACTGCAATAACTTAAAGTGAGTTGGGAAGTAGTGTGAATAACCCCAAATCATACACACCTTAATCAGTGATTCTTTCTCCTGAATCTCCACTAGAAAGCTGAGCCCTCCTCTCAGCAGGGGATGTGTCATCTCATCAGCCTTCTAACATCCTCAGCAATTCTCCTCCTTTCTGAGGGTCAGGACTCCTCCCTCCTGCTCTAGACCTGTATCTGTCTGATGCCTGGGTGCTTGTTCTGAATTCTCACAAGCTTCCTCACACTCAAAGTTTCCATGGGCTTCTGTGGAAAAATGGAGTTTGTGGGATGGGCACCCCAAAGTTGTGCAGTGCACAACCTCCACAGCTGTACAGGGAGGTCCTGATATTCTTCGGTGCTCCCACCAGGTTCTGTGCTGACTGTGTCATTTCTCTGGGTGATATAATGTCTTTACTTCTCTCCTCTCCTCCCAATAGCCTATAAGCTCTTTGAGGACAAGATTAAGATCAGAGTTCCATCTATATATCTCTGGTACTCAGAAGAAGGGCTGAAATACTAGAAGCCTCAATAACGCTCTACTTAATAAACAACAATAAAAATAATTAATACAGTTATAATGTAGTTAATATGGAGTTCGGGGAATTTTCTAGGTTTTGCTACCCTGTCAAGTTTTTGCCATCTTGTAAATCATTCCCTATAACATAGTCTTCACACATTACACAAACAGTAAGTTGTAATCATTAGCAAAAGAAATTGTAAACATGAGAGAAAAAAATCCTGTTTAGTTTTTTTTTTTTTAAGCCCATAAAATGTTGAAAGTTGGTAGTGGAAGCAAGTCTTACATTTTTGAAGAGCTGGTGGCTGTCGCTATGGTGTGATATGAGAGATTCTAGAGAAATTTCCCTGCCTGAAATTCTACCCTTAGAGATTTGCAGGGGCCCCCATTACAAATGTAAGCACTGTGTCCTGGGAAGGGCCTGTGTCACATGAGCTCAGATCATTCCTTGGCATGGCCCCAGCAGGAGAGCGCTGGGCTCCCCAAAGCAGCAGAGGAGAAATCCGGGGAGGAGGGAATGACCAGAGGGCCCCAAAAGAAACGTGACTCCTTTGTGATCTGGCTCCAGCCTGACCCTGTTAGGAAGCTGTTTTCTTGTTCAAAGGATAGTTTGTTTATTTGGAAGAAGACAGTCGATTGCCTTTTTTTTTTTAAACAGCTGAAACTTTTAATTCTATCTCCTTGGTCCCATTAGACCCTTGAAGTAAAACTGCCCCCTTTCAGAGCCTGTCCTCATTTTGGCAAGCCAAGGTGGTCAGTTGTTTCACTGAAAAGACGGTGTTGTTTGTGTCTCGCTGGGGTGCAGGGCAGCTGCGAGGAGACCGCGGTGCCCTCAGCAAGTCCCTGCCCGGGGACCTGAGACAGAATGTGCAGGGTGTCCCTGCGCCCAAGGGGAGAGGCAGGGCAGGCCACCCTTTCGGGGGACCGCACAGCGAAGCCTCTCCCTGTGCACTGCATGCACCCAGAGTCACGGGTGCTGGCCCGGAACAGGTCCACTGGTGTCCCCACATTATCCCAGATCTCAGCACTCCCAAGTCACTTTATCTAGCTGCCAAAAATCAGGCCGTTCTGCTCCTGGCCGTGAGCCTTACAGAGCTGCTTAGCATACAGCTGAGAGAGGGCTAGGGCCTCCCAGCCTGCTCGGGGCTGAGCTAATATCATCTGTGATGCTGGGTGGCTGGGACGCAAATGGAAATGGGTACAGGGATCATAGGGTTTGCAGGGTCCACAGAGGTCATGAGGAACCTCCTTGTCTCACAGGTGCAGGAACGGGGCCTGGGTCTAGCGGTGGGGGAGGCGCCCCGCCAGGAGTAGAAGCCAGGCCTCCTGACTTCACCACCGTGTTGTTCAGTCACTCAGACCTCATGTTTTACTTCCTGAATGGTAAAGGGAGAAGAGGCCTGCGTCAAGTTCCATGCTTTTCGAGCAGAATAATCCTGTCTGACACATCTTTACAAAGACATAGCTGTTAGAACAATTTTTTTCCCCCAGATATCAAGTATCTTATAGATATTTCCCATATTTTCTGGAAACAATTAGATTTTCTAAAAGTTTCTATTTCATTCCAAACCTTTCTTCACTTATATTTACCAGAAAATAACTTTACAATAAATTATCGCTAGAACGAATAAAAAGTCAACTTATAGCAGCCACGCTGTGAAAAGACAGTTCCCTTAGGCTCGTTTCTCTTTGTCCAGGAGCCAAAAACTCAGCTCCCAGTGCAGAGGTGGCTGCCTCCTTTTTTGGTTTGCGACTCAGGAGGTGGGGCAGATCCGAACTCAGGCATATGGACATGTCCCAACACATGAGACTCTTCTCCAGCTAGAGTCCAAGCTGCTTGATTTCCAGGGCAGGGAAATACCTGGCACCCAGAACACTGTTAATGAGAAGGAATGTCTGCTAATGAAGAGTTAACTGTCATGGTTTGTGAGGGAGGGAGAGCATCTCCTTCCTACTGGAGCCACACCCTTGTCCAGTCTCTGAGTTTCCCTGAAAATGGATTTGTCAAGCTGCACTTCCACTCTGCGGGTTACACATGTGTGATTTGTGCTTGCTGTTTGCCCAAAACCTGGCCTTAGAAAGTTTCGTGGTGAAGTATTCTCCAGAGATAGCCCTTGG